AGGCAGAAGAGACCCATAGCTTCCGACAGGGCAAAGCCTAAGAGAACAGCTGCTGCTTCAGTGATGGATTCCTGTGGAGAAGAAGGGAGCAAAGCAGTTAAATTATAGTAAAATGATACAATTGTTTTAAAAAAATTTTACAGTTTAAGAATTGATTTGTTATACAAACCTTCAGAAATAAATAAGTTAAATGTTTCCATGACTTCTGTCTTAGAGTGTACAAATATAGAATATAATTTTCCTTTAAAGGTAAATCCTACATACTAAAGCGTCTGTCCCTTTGGCCTTTATTTCAAAATAAGCATCCTGCGAAACTGAGCAGAAGCTTAAGACGATTAAACCAACACCCAAATATAAAACGTTCTTTGGCCAGGTCGTTTTTTTATAGAGGGCCAACAACTAAACAGGGATTTAAAAAGTACAACAATTCAATTTAACTTCAAGAAAAGTCTAATCATACCTCGCATATCCAATAATGAGACTGCCGAAGACTGTTCCAATACCAGCTCCAGATCCGGCCACTCCAACAGTGGCAGCTCCTGCTCCAATGAACTTTGCAGCTGTGTCAATATCACGGCTCACAGCGCTGGTCTGGAATCCCCGCACTGCAAACTGCTGCTGAGAGGCTGCAGGACTTGGTGCAAGGAGTGAAGCAGTCTGTAAACCACAAAAAAAACAAAAAACGGACCCTTTCATTTTTTATAATCCTTTAAATGCAATTTCAATGCAATTTTATTTTTGTTTTCAATAATATTTATACCGAAAATATAAATACAAATTATCACCAACTCAAACTGAAGAGTTTAAGGATGCTGTTGTTCAGTCCATCATTTAAACTTTATGTCACTCCATACAAAACAAAAAATACATAAACCCCTCCTAGACAAGCTTTGTTAAATAAATAAAAATAAAGTGTAGCAAGCATGGAGAGTGAGGAGCGGATTGCCTATAGTTAGGTCATGTAGAAATTGATTACAACCACTTGACACTGCCGGTAGGCCAGAGCCTCATCTGTTTAACCCATTTGCTTCAAGACACCAACTTGGTGATGCTTGAAGTCGGTGCTGTAGTGCGGCCAGAGAACAGAAAGATGTATGTCTGAGTGAGTTGTACTTCGATATGAACAGGGGACTAGGATGTGAACCAATATCTATCGTTTAAAACTAGTGTAAAAATTCAGCTGCAATAGCCATCACTTAACCACTCAGGGAAGCAAAGACAGTTTAGAGACAAATATTGCAAAGCTAAAAGTTGCACATGGAAATATAAATATACATAATTTGTATCATAAAAGCAATCACCAACTGGCTGGGTATATATATTAAAAAAAGTTATTAAAATTTCTAACAGTTTGGTCATTTTTACCTCCTAAGATCCTGTTAGAATAAAACAAAGATACATTTTTCGTATAGACAAATAATTTTTCGAAGTGAAATTACTTTATACTGAAAGATAACTACTCTTATTGCATTGTGTTTGACCTCTACTTTGAATGAATTAAGACTTTGACCCTAGCATTAATTTAAGCTGGATTATTAAGTGAAAATATAAATGGGGTTACACTGTAATCTTGAGCTTTTAGTAAAATAAAATACAGACATTTCGCAAGCCTCTGCTTTTTAAACCAGAGAAAAAAAATTGGTTTCAGTTTGTCATGCCAGACAACAGTCCATTGTTGCTGCTTTAGCAAGGTTCAGTTAACCTCATGTAGAGGGGGCATTTGCTTCAGCAGAAGTACGTTGTGTTTCACACACACCGAAGCAAGCTAAAATTAAACTCAAATGTTACAGATTGTTCCTAAATTAAATCATCTAATCCCTCCATCACATCTCCTAGCGCACCGAGCTGATCAGTCGTCCAAGTCAATACTTTTCACAAGTACAAAATAGTTTATCATCAATACTTATAAAGCTAACTGTTCACTATTTGCATGGAAAAACAAAAGACCAAATGAGCTCCAATGCCTTCTTGCTTCCCAAATGTGCCTCAAGACTGTCCTCACCTCTGATTTCCTGCTGTCTGAGAGCACTGCCGCTGAGAGGGGTCTATACATTGCCCTGGATCCAGCACGGACCTAAGAAGTGGGGAAAAGCATGGAGAGAAAAAAAAGCAACAAAGTTTAAGAATTGCTTAAAGAACAAAATGATTACAGTGAGCTAATTGAACAACAGAAGAGGATTATATTAATTCAACTATTATTTAAGAATTTACATTTTCATCTAGTCTAAATAAATCAGTGCAAACTGATAAGTACTTTAATATTGTATTTGCTGTGTAAAAATCATACAATGAACTCCATGGGGATTAGCAACAAGCACCAATAGTTATCTTGGTTTAATGTCCTTAAAACTTCTCAACTTTAATTGGGCCTTTTGATTAACGCCACACTTATTTAGATTGAATGTATATTTATGTCAGCCTCATAAGCACTGTTCTCCATGTGGCCTGAATAGACAGGTGGTGGTTTGTCCGGACTGAAACCGTTTCGTCCTTGCAGGTGTGAGCGTAGCAGACTTTAGCAGAGGGTCAAAGACAGTATGTTAGCAGCGCTAGCTAGCTAGCTAGCCATTGACCGTTCTGTCCTTTTAGACAACAAACGACTATGCTGCTCACCGTTCCCTGGTGAAAATGCGTTTTTAAACGCTTGTAGCTTTGATAAGTCGTCATTCATTTGTGTGAACTCACCAGAGAGGGCGTGGAGACGAACTTAGCACAGGCATACATTATGATGGGTCGACTGGGTCGGATCCGGTGGAGCAGCTAGCGAATATCTAACGTCTGAAAAAGAGATGAAACAAAACGCTTTAAAGCTCAATAAGTAGGATAGATTCCCTCTGGTATATGAGAAGGCAAATTATTACGTTTCAGCTGACATGAAAAAAAGGTCAAGCTAGGCTGTTAAAAAACGCACAATGTTGCGGAAAGATGTAATTTAGACATCAAGAAGAAGAAGCAGTGCCACAAATGATCGAGCCACAAAACATCGAAAAATTAACTTATAAATGTATTTGAAATTCAATTTCTCTAAGAGGAGGTTAGCACTCACCGGTCTGTTGTAGAGGTCGAACAAACCAGAGGTAGACGCATGCGCAGTTTTTGATTTGTCTTATGAGTCTTTGGTAGACAATGAGCAGGAAGAGCTCATGTCTGCCCCCAACTGGTAGGATGTTGAATAACGTTTCTGTTAAAATGCACTTTAAGTGTGTCTTTATTTTCAAGGTTGCTTCAATAAAAAAATATGTTTTCAAATAAAATCAATTCACTTTAATGGAAAAAACGTTTCAATCAAATAAAGAAAAGTATTGGAATAAAAAAATTATAGTTGAGACTAAAAAAAATACATTTGAACACTGCTTTTTAAATTTTAATGTGAAATATCAAACGATTAAAATGAGCTTAGAAAAATGTTTACAGATAGTTTATGTAAACAAAATAATTTCTCTTGTTGATTAATTGATTACTTTGACTATATTTACTGATTTATTACAACTGCTTAATATTAAATCTTGGAATGCAATGTCAAGTATGTGCTGTTGTATAAAAAATGCGCAAAGAAGCATTTAACCCTGCTACACCTAGTTTTAAATGAGAAAAATACTATAAAATTGGTTACGGATGTTTTTTATCAACCCTTTTTCATCCCGTTCTTGTGTATGGAATTTTTCTGCACAGTGTGTTTATGGAAGAATAAAAAATATAAATGGGTTGTAGAGTTAGGATCCTGGCTTTTAGAATATACTTTGAAAATGTTCAGAAGATAACTAAGAGCAATGAAAAATTAATCACACATGCAAAACTGAATGCCTACAACAGAATAATTATATTAAACAGCTTTAAATTCTGGTTTTATTCATAAAACAAGACATCCTTGTGCTGAGCAATATTTCCGATTTTTGTTCTTTTGTTTTGTTTCTTTCAGGTCCAGGAGAGGAGAAACGCAGGGAAATTCTATCATAAATCACAATTCAAAAACATCTTTCTGCACTTTCTTTTATGATAACTTGATATTTTTGATAGTGACTTTTTAACACTGTTATACAGACAGAAATACCTCAGTTGTGCAGCTTTAAGTAGCTTTATTAAAATAACAATATAATTTGTTTGTTATTCAAAGAATCTGGGAAGAATTTAGAGGAAATGTTTTTATCATATAACATATTGCTATCATGGTTTTCCATGCAGTTGTTAAATACTCCATTGTTTTCATGTTTAGAGATCTTAACAATTATGTCCAATTTGAAGAATTGGAGATGTTTATTGTTAACAATTGTTTATTGTTTATTGCTGTGACACCATCCTGGAGAGAAATATCAGCTGTGCTGCTGCCACCAACACTTCTGTTTATAGATGTTGGAGCTTGGCCTGTTTTTCAGTGTTGTCCCGTTTCTCTGACTGTGACTAACTGTATGTGCTGTTTTTCATTCTCTGACATGGGAGCTAGCTCAGAGCTCGTCTGCCTGGCTGTGTTTTTCCTGGACAGGTGTACCTGTAGAGCTGGTAACAGTTACCTTTTTAATGCATCTTTTTGCATTTCTGCATCTGTCTCCTTGAACCCCAGTCAGCCTCGGCAGATGGCCGCTCCGACAGAGCCTGGTCCTGCTGGAGGTTTCTTCCTGTTAAAAGAGCGTTTTTCCTTCCAACTGTTGTTACAAGCATGCTTGGTGTGAGGGATTGCTGAAAAGTCAATGAGTCGGTGCAATCAGCTGTTTCTAATAAAACAAAACACAGACACAAAAAAAAGTAATAAATAAACTATTTATTTATTTATTTATTTATTTATTTATTTATTTATTTATTTATTTATTTATTTAT